GTTTAGGGTTTAGGATATTAAACCCCCGAATATAGAATACTCCCATTATGGTGTATATAAGAATAGACTGGGAGTAAAATATTAGGGGGAGTGGATTAATTTTGGCCAACATCAGACGTCACTTGAGTAGTGTTTTTTAATTGGGGTATACTATAATAGTCCTCCAGTATGATGATATCCTCCTTTCCAGGTAGAGTGTTTCATAGAAGGAATATGATCTTACTTTGTTCCACCACCAGAAAGACGCTGCTCACTTGTACGTTTCCATCAACGTTTGCCCTTCAGAATCCCTGGCTCATGTCTGTGTTTCCAGATCGGTTCAGGCAAAGGATCCCAGGTACCTATATACTAACCCGGACCATAGTATTATTTCCCTAAACCCTAAACCTTAAACCCTAAGCCCTAAACCCGACATCCTCAGTAGCATTCCAGGGGCTGATGATGGAGAACTCTTGCCAGGGTTAGGGAATGATGGGTGCGCTTTTATGGACGATGTTATTACATGGAAGAGCAACATTGATTCCCTGCAGAGGTTTGTCAATGAGCTGTTGCCTCAGCTCGCGGCCTTCGGGCTGCATGTGCAACCCAGCAAATCGAAGTTGTTGTGTTTTCGTGGGGTTAGAAACGTGAAGCTGCAGCTAGGGGAGAATACCATCGAACCGATTGCGGAACAGGAGCCCTTCACTGTCCTTAACCTCCCCATCTGTAGAGACAACACGGAGATGAAGATCTTGCACGCCCTTATTGACAAGGCTCGTGGTAAATTCTGGAGCATCCTCCCGATTCTTACTTCAAAGGCCCCCCTCAAGAGCAGGCTGGGCATCCTCAACAAGGTTGTTCATGGAGTTTTCGCCTGGGTCGTGGGCATCCTCTTCCCCTCTCCGATCGTGCAATCGGCACTCAATCACTTTCACTACAGTTGTGTACGGAAGATGATGGGGCTCAAAAGGGTTGGAGGCGAGAATTGGGTTGATGGAGAGGCCAGAATGCTCAGAATTGCAAGGCTGATGGTTCACAGACTGGAGGAGCAAAGATGGGGAGACAGAGCGGTGGTGGCTTTCTGGAACTTCACGGGGCACAGGGTTCGGGGCCACTCCCTTCCGTCGGCAGCGGCTTGCGTGTCGCACTTTCGGGGCCTCCCCTGGTGGAACCAACAACAAAGATCGAGTTTAGGCAGCAGACATGGTCGTCATTTTCCTTTCCTCATGAACTCAGAAAGGCGGGTGGCCAGTGTTGTCGGTTCAGAAAACTGGCGAGTCGCGGCTATGAATAGGCAACAATGGGCAGGGCTCTCACTGGCATGGCTTAGGCAGGAAGCGCTACCTTGGACATCTAACAGGCAACCTTCACTCTGCAATTGACTTTGACATGACGGCAGCGGGTGAACTGTCGTGATGTGTGCTGTGCACTCGGATCAGTGGTGAGTAGCTGCTCGACGTCTGTAGATAGCAGTGTTGTCAGCCTTGACCATGCGTTACCGCAACCTCCTCTTCATGTTTTGTGCGTGGCTGCTGATGGGCTTCTCCTTTGCGATGGCCCGCAGTATGGCTGCGACCGTCGGCTCTCCCTGCGGACGGCCTCGTGACGATGCCGCTGCTGCTGACTTCACCGACACGCTCGAAGCCGCCTCCCAGGACGAAGCTTCGACATCCAGGGCAACAGTTAAATTCGAGGGACAGCTGGACCGCTGATGGAAGGATGGGCCAGGAGAGAGCCAACCACACCCGTGCACCAGGGAAGGACGCTCCCAGGGCTGATGCAGACCCCCGAGAAGAGACTGACGAGATGGCAGTCATGCATAAGAACAGAAGGGCTAGATCCACCTCACCAAGAAGACGGAGGCAAAGGGAAAACCAGAACACTGGCAGGGTCTACGAGGATGAAGATGAGTGGGAATGGGATGAGCAGGCGAGACGCTACTACCGGCGAAGAAGCAGGTCGGGGCATCGCTCTTCTACATGCAGTTGGGCCAAGATGCCGCCTCTTGGGCAAACAGGCACCGAGAACGTGCTTCGGGATCTGGCAGGCAGTCGCCTACCTCCAAAGCACCGCCGCCGAGAACGCCTCCCAGAACGCCTTCTATGACACCGGCAAGCCACTCGGCCAGGAACATTAAGTACGTCTCCCTGGTCCCCACACTGGAACAGTTGGGCCCGGGAGTGCGTATGTGGTCAGACGCTGTTGGAATTACACACGCGTCAGAAAACTTTACGGGCCAAGACAGGCACCTGCTTAGCAATGCGACCGTGTTCGGGCTCGCCAGGGACCTTGCGAAGCTCAACCACGCCCAAAGGGTCAACGCATACTGCGATCTGATCAGATTCCTGGGAGTGCTCTTTGCTGACTTGATGCGAACGATGACAAGGGCCGAGGAGATCGCGGATGAAGAGGTTCTCCTACAAGTCACCAGGCCGGGCGTCGGGCCCAGCATGGCGCCAGAGCTGCTTGCTGATGTCATGCCCGGCAGAGTGGTGAACAACGTGACTCACCAATGTCACTGACATTATGGCCGCCTTGGACAGCATTGGAGACGTGGCAGCCTCTGAAATGGTGGAGGGATGGGACGAGGACGAGAATGAAGCAGAAGAGCCGGAGGAGGAAGGGCAGCAGGAGGGAGGACCGGAGCTGGAGGACATGGACAATGAGGACGTGGCTTCCTATACGCAGGTCGCGGCAAAGACGGGACCGATGACCCTCTTCGCCAGTCACCTCGCTCGACTACAAGCACATCTGGAGAGCATGACTGTGCCACAAAGAGCCAATGTTATCAAGCACCTGTACGACAAGCTCGAGAAGTGGCGTGGATCCTGGGTCATGGCATTGACGTCCGTCTCGCGGGATAGAGCAGATAGGCTCTGGGCCCTCCTGGTGACGTACCAAGGCGAGCCGGGGTGCATTGAAGACAAGGACGCCAAGTGGGCTGATGACCGGTGGGAAGAACTGGTCGCTATGCTCCAGATCGATGCGGTCCAGGCTGCCGATATTGGGGCCTTCAGGCTGCCAGGTACACTCGTGGAGATCGATGACTCGCAGGCAGGGGCGCCGTCGTCGTCCTCGAACCAAGTCATGGTGCGGAGGACAGAGCATGGACCATGGGAACAGGCTACGGACAGAGAGGTAAAGGAGTTAGCCCAGAAGGACGAGGATGACGCGCTTCTTCGTCGTCAACAAGAGGCACATGACGAAGCTTTGTGGCAGGAGCATCAGGCCGCAAAAGCACAGGAGTGGGATGATTGGGCAGTCGCATCGGAAATGGGGAAGACAAGGTCGATGCAAAGTCCAAGGCCGGCAAAACGCTTCCGGGTAAGGGTATCGGTCTTCGACAAGGATCATAATGAGCTTGACACGGCTGACCTCCATGGCGACATTGATGCGAACGACCAGCCCCTTGTCTCCTTCACCGTCATGGAGGAGGAGGTGAACCGAACTCCTGATGATGTAGAGGGGCCTGCAGATGAGGCAGAGGGCGAGAAGGCCAAAGCAGATGAAGGTGAAGAGCAAGGTAAGGGTGCTGACCAAGACCAAGACGGTGACGGCCGGTGCGATCAGGCAGACCAAGCAGAAACAGAGGCGGTGGCATCGGCCGAGGGCGACGTGGACGAGCTCGTTGACCCTGACATCGCGGGCCTCGGCTCCGTCCCGTCATGGGTAGGCAGTGGTTCCAACTGTTTGTCGATAGGCAGGTGGACAGTGTCATGGTGTCCAAAAGGTGGGGCCAGAGGGTACTTGAGATCTTCGAAGTCAACAGGGCGATGATGGAGCTAGATGAAGATGGACCACGTGGAGAGGATGAACGCCACCTCCCACCCGGCCACCCGCGCAGCTCAGCGACAAGGCAGAGGGACTCTGGAGGCAGAAGGTCCCCGAGAGTGGACGAGTGGCAAGAGGGACATGGAGCACGGGATGAGCAAGAAGGACCAGGCCTACATCGCGCAGCACCAGGGTTTGGCGAAGCGGCAGCCGACGACCTCAAGGTGCGTCGCTTCTCTGAGGACAGTCAAGACTCGCAGGGCTCCTCAGGAGCAAAAGTGTTCCCCGAGCGGGAGATCGTTGCTGGCAACCGAAAGGCAGAAGATCGTGAAGATGACATGGAGCTGGCACAAGCGGTGGTGGACGGGGGCCCGGACTCGATCGAACAACAGGAGCTTCTGGACACACAACTTGATGGACCCGGTGATCCCATGCCATGGACGTTGTCGCACCTGGCGCGGCTGCTGATGTGGTGGCTTCAGAGGCGGCTGGCGTGGAGGCGGAGATGGCCGAGGGTGTCCATGCTGCTGCGGGAGCAAGTTCTTCTGAGGGGGCAGGTAATGGTAGCTTCGGGGATGGTAGGGTCCAAAGTAATCTTGATGGCTGGCTGCTCTGATGATTGCTGGTCGGCTTGCAAGTGATTTTGAGAGTGCTCTAAGCCTGGATGCGTAAGCTGTTCGGGAACTTGGGGTCTTTTGTTTCTGTTCTCATGGGTCTGGCGGTACTGCACAGGCACTGCTGTTTCATCTTTCGAGTGCTGCTGGGCCATGGGCCGTGCTTCATAGCATCTTTCTGTGGATTCGTTCGGCGGGGAGAAAAGGTCCGA